GAATCCTGTTCGATGACAGAAATGACTTTACGGACTTCAATGGGCAGGCCTTGTTGCCAAAGTTCTATCAAAACCGCGTCATTGACCGGATGCTTACCTTGCAGGTGCATCATGCGGCGAAGATGTTGTGACGGTGTTTTATCGCCGACTTCAACACCGGAGAGGAGCTTCCGCAGATTATGCTCATCGCTGGAAGCGGTACGTGAAATAATAGCTGTTTTGAGAGCATCGTATGGATCGGTGGACGGTCGGGTGTAAATTAAATCAGAGACTTCTCGGGCAACGGAGTCTGGTAAGCATCCTACCACATACTTGTATCTGCTGCACTGCGAGGTAATATGACGCGATTCGAAAATGGCCCCAAGTTGGGCGAACCATAGCCTCAGATCAGGTGCACCGAATTCAGGCAATTTAACGTGAACAACGTTGTCTATTTCGGGTGTCTGTGTTTGTTCAGAAGCCATGTTGACGTGGAAAATAAATATAATAAAGAACGGGAGTATTGCAGAGAAAAAATTAGGAATGATTCGGGCTCATCAATTACGTAGCGGACTAGGACCTTATCAGCGTGTTCGGATAAATTAACAAGCAAAGTAACCAATACAAAATCACAAAATCACAATAGGAAAAGAATGAGTAGTCAAATGGGGACTCACGAATGTGTAGATGCAATAGTCCACTACACCGATCCAAATGCGGTAACTGGTTGTGAACGGAAATATTCCCTTGTCGGAATTTCTCAAATATGGTTCCGCGTGCGTGATATATTCCACGGTAGGAAAATTATTCACGGCTAAAAAATGTCACAGGGGTTTATTGTACGTTCAACAGTTGACACAAACACAGAGATTTGGTCCCACTGGTTCGTCAACAAACAGTTCAACGGAGCGTAAATACGCTCGTTCAGCAAGAAGTCAGCAGGTCGCACCGGAAAATTGTGTATTCGTAACATTAAAACAAACGACAGTTACAAAGTGTGGTTCAAGTTCAGGAAGAATGGTAAATGTGACAACGGATTACAGATACTATAGGCGTGTGTACCAACCGTGTGAACCATCGTTCAGCTTGCAAAATCCTGACAACTAAATGCTTTGAAGCAGTGGGTTCGACCAGGAGTGGAAGTGGACAATGTGGTGACAAATCGGATACATGATGGTTCCGGGTGGTTACATGTTGGTTTTTGAGCGAAAGCTCAATGTAAACAGAAGGGAAATTCAGATAATTTGTCCGAAAAATTGCGACAAGTATCCACTTGTTTTCATACATCACAGTCGGCGGGGCTATCTACTATAAAAGAACAAATGCTGGACAGAAGGACCCGTGGCGATGAACTGCAAACAATATCGAATTCAGCTGAAATTGTTCTCAGTTAGGGAGCTCTCATAAAAACAGAATTAGAATCGTTGGTAATGCAAAGAAATTTTGGAATTTCCCATCAAGTTCTTGTTCTGTAAGTGGGGCGAGTCTATGCTAACTTGGCATCAAAAAAAGGTGTCGAACAGTTCATCCTGCAAAGATGTTGTAAAAAGCAGTGAGAATTAAAGAACTAGTACACAGATCTTGGTAAGTAGATCGTGGATGTTATTTGCCATCGATTTAAAGGTCGTATGAGCACAACTTGTGACAACGCATACACCAGGGTCAAAACCGATTGGCACATTTTGAGTAAATTAGCCGTGGGTGAAAACAGTCGGCAAGGGACTTGACCCATAAGTGAAAAAAGATAGTAGGGCAGGCCGATAACAAAATTCCTGATCAGGATGCTAGTGGACAGTCAGTCGTTCTCTTAGATGAAGTGTGTTTCTGATCACTGCGTTGAACTGACGCACGCTTGGCCAGGTGCTGTGCACAATAGGTTCGTTCTCGTCCATATTTTTGGTTCTGTCAAGACACCATAGAGGATTGTGTGGTTGTATCAAACTCTTATCACTTTTCTCCAATAATCACAGCGGTTTGGTGAGCTGGACGGACACGACAGACACGCACAAATCACTGAGGCCGTACCAGATTATTTGAACAGAAGTTCAAAATACGATTCCACATTCATGTGGTGCAGTAAGATGCAGTGCGTTGTACTTCTCTTGTTACTATGCTTCATCACAAGAGTGAAGCCGGGTATGTAGACGTTTTTTGGTACACAATGTCAAATGCAATTATGTCTGATTAACTATAAGTGGTTATACAGTTTGCGTTTCCTCTCAAGTACTTTGAATAAGCAGAAGCACATCAGTTTATGTCCCATTGAACCAACCTAATAGAGCACCGTTTATGAAGTGGAATGCCCGACCGAAAAGTTGGGTGATTTTGGTTGAATTACTACGGAAGAGTTCAAGATCTTTGTATAAAGAAACATATGCTGCCACACCGCTTGTCACGGTTTTGATAACCTCTCGCACAAGTCAGCCAGCCGCCATTACTTGTCCCTATGGCATACCAGCACAAACCACCAAAATTTGGTGCCCAAAATTTTTCCACTACTTGATTTTGTTGAATATTTTTGGAAGACAAAGAAATTATATTGATTCGCCTCTTGGGAACGAAATTTGGGTGCAACTGAAGCAGTAGTATCATCTATTGTTCTGCGGCAGAATAATTCCACCATCATAGCTTGACTAGCGAGGGGAGAGGCAGTAAACGTCACAGTCAAACACGCACTTAGAGGTGGACGAGGTCACCAAAAAAGTCACCAACTGGTGATAAACGAAAGTTCATTAGACAGATTCCCCATTCAAACCCAACTTCCATCACGAGGTAGCTAAAATATTCGACATTTGACTTATCCTTCATAACGAACTCTTTTGCTGAGCTAGGTTTGAAAAAACAGTTTTGGATACTTCATCTATCAAGGGTGATGGCTAATAACCTGGGGTTTTCATTTTATCTGTACACATATTTTGACGAGGTCTTTTGCCGGTGCATAATTTGGGGAGATGTGATAGGTACGAAGACATCAAGTTTCTAACGTAATAGAAACCTCATAAGCTGGTTAAATGACAGCCGTAAATGTTGGCTGTTTCAATCAGATCATGTCTTTTTCGGGTCAAGTCCTCAGTCTTGGGGCTCATCGGATACTTTATCAAATTTATCAATACTTAGGGCTAACGGAGACTCCAGGAGGCGCACAAAAGGGATCGAACCGCTCAGTAGAGAGTTATCCAAGTAAAAACCATGAAACCAAAGGCGGAAACCGAAATAGAATGCCACATTATCAGCATCAGTTAAATGGGTTCAAACGAGAAACATGTCGGTGTTTTTGTGAGGCACAGTGCTTTGCTTAAATCTGAATAGCTATCAATGTGTTTATGGTGATTAGAGAAGATTTCTTGCATTTCTGGTTAAACGTTACCTATACCTTCCTATCTCGGTTTAGCCGATAAAGTGGTGGTTTACGAATTTTGAGGAAACTGGTCCGCTTACGCCCCGAAAATCCCCCGTAGCTGCTAGGATATTGATACTCCGTGGAGCATCACGAATGACATTCGCCACACAGCATGCCATGACACTGGGTACAAAGAATGTGTGTGTGGTTTGAGTTTGCAACTTTTGCCAAATCGGTCAACTGGTTGCAGTGGTTGTCTCGGTCCACTCTCTTGTGCCTGGTTTTCTAGACTGACAGTTATGATGTACACTGGAAGTCTTGACTAGTATATGCAATCCACACACTGGTTCTAGCGGTGTTGTGTAAGCTCACTGAGGACAGAAATTTTCTGGAGGCCGCCTCTCCGGTGAAAATGGAGTCTAGAAACCATGGACCGAAGGGCAACTGCATCTAGTCGTGCTCAAACATCAAAAAGGATGGCACTCATTTTATGTGGCGTTCATTTGCGGTAAATTCAATAGTGAATCCACCTAAAAAAGTTTTAAAAAGTTCTATGTAGAACATTATATCGTTCCGTAAAATCCACGCTACATCGTCCGCCTCAGGTTAGATTGGTAGCTTCCTCCATGTACAGCTGGTACAACTGATGCGTTGCGTCGAGCGAAGCGTATATGTTTTACTAATCTTATTTAATTTGTGATAAGGACGTAGGTTTTTGTAATGTACTACTCATAAGGTTGCTGAAAATCCGTCGACAGCCCACGACCAGTTTCGCCCTTTTCGGGGCTCATCAGGTAGGCGCAGTCCCCGGGTTTCCGTCAACCTTATGTTCTACTTGAAACCAAATTGCACGAAATCAGCGAATATACACTCATTTGCAAACTAATTTGGTTCATGGAGTAGTACATTACAAATATACATGTATCGCGATATTTCAAATACCGTAGCGACTGAAACATGAGGCGGCCTGGTGCAGCACATTCAATTGCCTGAAAACGTCACAAACGAGAGATTCAGCTTGGTTCCAGGTGAGTCTCTCGAAAGAACCAAATTAGTTTGCAAATGAGTGTATATTCGCTAAGGACGTAGGTTTCTTCGAAGCAAGCGATCATACGTTTGGTTCTCCAAGTTATAGAGAGAATGGGAAACCGTAACGGGAGACGAGGTGCCCCCAGTTCTCAACAGTGCAAATTATCTCCCCCAACTGATCCTTTTTCCTATCGCAGTAGAAGTTCTCTCGGTTATCTAGCCATTCATAATGCTAAATATGTAAGAATGACATGTCCAGTTTCATTCACCTTGACTTCGCACACATGCAAAGATTCGGTAGGTTTGCTCAGAATTTCTGTCTTAGAGGTCACAGGAACCTCACCATGCTGGACTGATGCAAAGTAACTCATGGCTTAAGATGCTTCGAAAATCTCATCAGTACAACTGCACATCCTTTTTAGCGATGCTGGTTACGTTATTGGGTTGATGATTTGGCTGGACTCTCCACCCGATGACGTCACTATCGGGGAAACTTGTTGAATTTGGAGGTCAGAACAGATTGACTGCAGCGTGGATGAACGAAGTGTGGAGAGGAAAATACTAGTTCTATATCTGTTGACCAGTGTTCACTATCTGCCTCGAAGGATTCGCCTTTTAGCTCTCAGCGCCCCTGGCAGATGCATTTGTGATTGTTGACCAAAGAATCACCATACTGTCAGTGCGTGTTCACAGTTACTGATGAAAATCTACGAACCGATGAATCAAAGAAGTGTAGCGCTAAGATAGTAGATCACGGTTTGTGTGATGCAACTAATCTCACTCGATGCATATCAGAGTAATGATGGTATGTCGATGGATGGCTCATAGAAAACAAAAGACAAAGGTACCGTCTCATGGCATATCGCGGGATCGTAAATCCATGCTGTTTCATTTTTAAAAAAATGCTTTATCCTGTATTTGCATATGAATGATTGCTTCAAATTGCATTGCTGTTTCTTCACTGTAATCAGACGAGGATGATGGTAAGTCTGTAACCTTTTCTAATCCAGAAACAAATTGAAATGTCTGCAACACAATATTTTTTATCGCAGAGTTATTCCACTAGCCGATGCAACTATTTGTTTAGCTGTCAGCCTATAGTTTCCAATTTTATCAGTAGTCATTATTCCTTTGAAAGCGTGGAGCAAATTATGGTTTGATTCATTACTTTTCCTAAGAATCACTTAATTATGTTTAGAAGTCCTATGACAGCTTTGTTTTTGCTCTCCTGAGAAGGTCCACCTTGCTGTTAGTGATTTCAACTTCTGCATTTTGGGATGGAGAAGCACAAAGAGCAGTGTTGCAGTGGTAATAATTAGGCTGATACCTCCCGAAAGAGATGTCGTGCTTGCTGTATATAAGCAATTTTGTTCTGGACGAAAGACAAAACTAACCTCATATTCCGCAGAAGAACGGAACCTCTCTTTGTGAGATACTATTCATAAGACTGGGAAGGTCATTTCGATACCCACTAGTTCTTTCGCCCGAAATGCTTTGTTCATGAAATAGGCATAATCAAAGAACTTTTATTGATCTTATTCACCACTTGAACACCAAAATAGGTAAATGTGGAGTTAGATGCTCATTTGAAGTGCAAGATGGTGCTAGCTTTCAAATAATAACGTATCAAGGGAAAGTAACCCAATAAATCAATCATCGGCCGAATTAAATTCAGCAGCAAACTCCAGGCGACAAATACGGTTGAAATGATCATTACTCATAGATTCAGTCGAATCAGAGGTTTACAGAGCCCCAAACTGAAAGGAAACGCAGGAACGGCACCTGCGTTCTACGTCTGCGACAGCACCTCAGGTGCATTTGGCCTGTCAATGTGTCACTTCTGAAATAGGAGCGGCGTTACAAAGCGGCTATTGGCATCAGCCTGAACAGCCATCAGGCCCTTAGTATTGCCGACGGGATTTGGGTCTGGACCATCAGCAAGTCACTGCATTGTTTGATGACATGAAGAAATCGCAGCTACCTGGTGATGTCTGTACCATTACATCTTCATGTTGGAAGATTAAGAAGTCAAACCGGTTCTTATTTAACCGGAAAGAGGAGAAAATCACTCAAGACTCTGATGTATAACTCAGTCTGCTGATTACCTTCCAAACTTGTCGACTGCGCCACAACTTTCCATCAATCCATCACAGGATGTTCAACTTTCCAAGTCTAACTTTCTTTCGTGTGCTATCTTCACTCTTATGTGCTTTAAAGGTGGTGTTAAACTGTAGTGTTTCCGCTGAGTTGTGCACATGTGGCATGTAAAACAAGGGACTTCGGCAGCCTTGATGCGGCCGGCTGATGACTCTGGTCAGCACGTGGAATTCTTTTATTTGCCATATGAATGGTATTCTCATTTTTACCCCTAAATCAAAACCATATTGATCGTCTCCAGAAAGTATCCTGTCGATATTTCCAGCCGAGTGATATGAAGTTTTATCTTTCAAATGGTACCGAATACGCTTTGTTGATCAGAATGCTTTCTCGGGGATATTTTAGATACTAATGTTTGGTATGGGCCTTTGTTCAGAAGTAGAGAACGATGACAGCCATGCTGTCCTTTGCTTCTGATTGACAAGTGCCCCATAACCAGATCAAAATAGATTTACTTGCTCATTTCAGAGAGGTTTGGTAAACTTAATGCCTGAAAGGTGTCGACCATGTGGAAGTTCCGATCATCTCCCCAGAGTGGTCGCCCTCCATCCTTCGGAGTGGGGGTAAAAACCAAACAACATCTCCAATACATGAGTTGAGTGAATGGCTTCATCTGTGTATGAATGAGCAAAAGTTCATTTGTTCGTTTTCACCTGTGAGATATCACTTCAACCCCGTACAAAATGGGGGTAAACAGCTAACATCGATTTATACTGCTTCTGATGAGTGAGGGCCACTTAGTTATTCACCTTCTCATATACTGCTCTATCAGCCGAGCATGTGTGAGTTTAAAGGCTGTGGATAGATCCGTCATAAATACCAGTGAAGCGTACTATGCAAAGAAAATTCACTCACATCGTTTTCATCTGACTTGTACTGTTGGCACAGGTTGCAATCGATGGTTTTGATAAACGTTCTTCTAGTCAACACGGAGAGAATCAATAAAGAAATATGACTGGATAGCTTTAAACGAGCAAGAAAGTTGTTTTATGTGGTTGTCATTTACACAGATACATAAGCACAAATACTTACAAACGTGTGTTTTAATTCCACACCCATTTTCAGGTCGACAGCTAGCTCTGAGGACAGGGTGTCAGAACGACATTCCAATGTTGAACTTTGCGGACACAAATATTTATTCCAACCAAGTTTTTTTCAGGCTGTGCTTAGTTGTTCATTTAGCTCAATCCCTGATTAACTTGTGGAACTATACACAATGGTAAATTGATGATGTACGCTGTTTTCAAAGTCGAGAGATTCTGTAAACCTACAGAATCCGTTGTGCTAGGGATGATGACATCTCAGATGGTACCACGTCACACTAGGCTTGGGAGCAGACATAAATAACATGTATAGTAATACGTAGTATAGTATAGTATAGTATAGTATAGTATAGTATAGTATAGTATAGTATAGTATAGTATAGTATAGTATAGTATAGTATAGTATAGTATAGTACTTTATAGTATAGTACTTATAGTATAGTAACACGTATAGGAATATTCACCGGCCTTAAAAGTGAAAAAAAGTTCACAGAGTAATCGTACCTGCAGCGACAAATCGTGAAAGTCAATATAAATCATAAAACGAAAGATGACATCCTGAAAAGCTCTGCCTATTTGTTTCATGCTTGGATCGCTGCCTGTCCACAACCGACCTTATTTAGTGCACCAGCGTCATGCTACTGAGTTGAAGTGGAAAGAAGCATTCTCTACCAAATGTTATATCACGACCAAAGTCGAACCGAAATCATCCCGTATCCAAAATCCTGAAATACTGTATGGCAATGTATGGGACAATTTAGACGCAAGGGAAACCGTTTTCTAACCAATATTCATTGAGAGTCAGATAAAATGCGACAGTATTCAGCTCCCCGTCAGCACCATGGCCTAAGAACCAGAATTACGGAATACAATGAAACTCAATGTACAATATACCCCACACTGTAGTTGACCCATTTTTTTATTAGGCGTCATGGGCATTTCATGTTGATAAGAAATTCTGTTTAATAATTTCCTGAGTTTCAGGGATCTTTCGGGGTATCTGTTGAGTGATGAAGGAGAAAGGACTGCGTCAGTGTCTTCATTTTCAGTGTACCACCATAAAAGAAACATTCCGAAATTCCAACAAAACACGTACGACTGGTACATCTTGGGATTAAGCAAACGGTCGCTTTTAGATAATACATTCTATGCAAGTGGGTGGTGGGTTTCTATGCAAGTTGCGTCGTGACACACTGCCTGAAGGGATGTGTTCCTTCCTATTCCTTCCGAGGTAGAAAACCGACTAGCTAAACTATTAGTTAAATCATCAGTGTGAGCCCTTGAGGAAACCCTGTGTTCAGAGAAGGACGGATGAGTGCATTTTTGTCGGGATGGAAACCTAAAATAACTAAGTGGGCGGGATGTGTTGATCCAGGAAGAGCTCAAACTATGCTCGTCTCTGATATTTTCAGTCATGGATCCATCATTCGACTAACCCACTGCGCAAGGTTTCCTTCCATCCGTGAAATTCACTTCCTCCCTATTCTTGAGAACAGGTTCAAATTTCCTACATTCATATAGTAAAGATCAAGATGGGCTGATCAAACGGCAGCAGAAAAAAACCGATGAATTCCGGATCTAATCCACAAAGTTTAACAGCAAGCCGCACTTATTCAAGCCCTACTCTCACGCCTAACTTCTGTTTTAACTGTTCAAACGCATCGCAAAAAATCTTAGGCAAACTAGTGTCAACATCATTCAGGCTCACGAATAAAGTTTTTTGGCCCTGTTTATATCGTCCTTCTGAATAGCCTATATACTAATAGTGAGGGGGGAGCGAGGTGGCGAATTTAGTGACCCAACCTCTGCCTCTCGACTGCCTCTGTCTAGGCTTGGGCAACCTGGCAGAAACCTAGCCCTCGTGCTTCCTTCTGGTGGCATGGCAGTTAGACACCGAAAGGGTGCTACAGCTGAATGATGTTTCTTTATTATTACCAGAGCGTGAGTAAAACCTTTGATACCAGTTGATTAATCATCTCACACTCGATAGATTTAAGAGAAAATGATTCTAATGGAAATTCCGACCAATAACAATCCATCTAACAAAATGGGATCACTAAATTCTATCATTCATTCATTCATCGTTCATTGTGCTCTACTTGGTAGAGAAACTGACAAGACCAAATTGACAAATGTGACGGCGCATATATTTTTTGGAGTTTACATTGAGGGACCTCGTAAATATGCTGAAGCGAAATGTTAAAATATCATATCCGAAAATGACAGTCAGCATGGAACTGCTGACCGTTGTACGCCAGCCCTTCTGTTGGTTTCCAAGATAACTCTGCTAAACTATGCCAAGGTTATTCGGATTGACATGACACTATACAAAGAGTCAAATTCGTGAAATTTCCATTGATGCCCATCATCGTTTAGGGATCTAGGAGCGACTTCCATTGTGGAATGCATGAAACAGCACTTCCATTGTTCAAAATTTACCGCACAAGACAATTTGGTTATTTAACTTGGCATTTTTTCAACACATCAAAATCTTTTGGAGTAATTCTCTCAAGCATATTAAAAACGTCATTGTTGTTAGCAAGAACGCCTGGCAAAGTATTCGGCACAACCAGTCTATGAATTTTTGTCAAACAGAATCTTTGAAGAGATATCTGTACCGTTTGATGACATACTAACCAAAAGACTGTTCAAACTGGACAGTATCTACCGAACCAAACCCCCCAAACCTATACTGTACACCATGTCTACTTTGGTGGTGTTATATCCATGTTTTCATCATCACGGGCAAATCCCGGCCTACAGCACATATTGGTTTTGCTTGGAAATTCCTCCTTCTGTGCTGGCTCACAAGGACAAGAGTGAACTCGAACTTTACTGTTTACCAGACCTTATCCGCAATGCGCACGTTTGTCCGACAGAACAAAAAATCCACTCACTTGGTGAGCAGAATATTATTCGGCGACCAACTTACTGTGGGCAAAAATCAACTGATACATACATGAACAGATGTAATTTGATGAAGTTTCTTGTAGAATTAAGAGCCAGTTGACGCACCGATTTGTTAGGTCTAGTCTGCCAAAAATGTTGGTGCAATTCATAGGTAATTTATAACCAACCATCCCTGTTTGACCATTTTTCAAACTATAATTGTCGGTTTTTACCGTTTTCATGGAGACAGATATTGATAAGGAAGCAAAGGAATTATTCGTAATGCTATCCTGCACCTAAATACTATCTATATTCAAATGTATATAGCTACTTACCTCTTTTACCGATTGTTCATCCGTTTCCTTTGCAGACATAGAGCAGTCACATTTTGATAGGAACTGCCACAGTTACACCACTGTGACTCCTGGAGAAAATGCTTATTTTTATATTAGTCGGGACTCATGCGGATTCGACCTACGTGATGTACCGCCTAAAGCGTTCGCGATCCAGCCTGAAACGGATATTGTAAGTTGACATACGCCCAGCATTACATAAACTGACACGCCATTTGATACTGAAAGGAGTGTTTGGTGGTCCAAGTAGCGTAAACTGTAGTTAGTTTGCTTGCTGAGTTGGGAATTTCAATTGCAGTTTTATCACCAATCGAAGTGACATCTTCAATGCGTCATTAGGAGCGTAGCGCAGCGATGTGTCAGTGGCTGTGTATTGAGCTTTATTGTTATAATGTCTTATGCAATCTTGGGCTGCCTTTCGATTTTGATTGGTTGTTCTACGGGCTGTCCCGTACCGTGATTGATCGATGATTCGGTGACAGTCAACTGGGCCTCCTCCGCTGTAGTCTGTTGGTTGAAGTTCCCCAATTTCTGTGCACTTTCCCCTTTATCACGTTTGAACAGGTGTTTAATTTGTTCCATCTGTCCGCTTGTTCACTCGATTGACCACTGTTAACGCATGAAGTTATCGGATCAAATGTTGTCAAACTTCACTGACACGCTTGGTTCACTAAGTAGCGGAATAGGGGGTTATTTGCCGCCTCAAGGTAGCCAAGTGACCGTATGTTCATGAAATGTTCGTGAAATTAGTTCAGCGAGACCAGCTGTCACGTCCATGTACGTGCATAGGGAAAATTGACATGGGGAAGTCTTGGGCTTGTGGTTGGATTTTTCCACACCTTCATTAAATCAGGTTTGACGAGACAGCATATCAAAACTCAATTAGTATGCCGGCCGCGATGATCTGCGATTCCTCATTTGTTGTGTGCGCAGTGAAAACTGCCCTTCGCGTACTGAACGGTTTAATTAGGTCTGTTTAAGTGTTCTCTGTTGGTAATTAGCCTTACTGAGTTCATAAGCTTTGTGTTCTGGGGTTAATCCGCGCACAATGAACCCACGTGATTGATGCATTTCCAGCCTGCAAATAGAGTAGACGCAGAGAAACCGGTCAAGATTCTGTTCATTTATGAATAGGATATCCCAACTATGACTCACTCTGCTACAGTGTCAGCACTCGAAAATCCCACTGTTTCAATAACCCACCCAGCCAAAAATAGCCAGTAGCAAGAAAGGACAAATGTGCCCTTTAGTTATTGAGGAGCCGGTTGTAGCAGCCATCTTCGAGCAAAGCAGTGTGCGTTTTTCAACTGACAATTAAACATGGTACGCCGCGTTCTGGTATGGACATGTTAACTTGCTTTTATGCAGCTCTTGCTCATTGCACTTTTATGAACTCGGACTAGTCCGTTCGTTCACTACGTTGCATTGAAGGAACTCGGGTTTGAAAAGAAAAGCAATATACACGAGTTAAGGGGCCTATGCCCATTAGACATTCATTCGGCTATCCTGCATGGAAGCCTCAACACGACCACATAAGGCAGAATCGACGAAGGTGAATACGATACACACACCGTCAAAAGGCTGCTCGCAACTTTCGGGTACCACCGATTTGGATGGACATTAATCGTGACATCAAACACAAGGCGCATACATGCTTAGGCAACGTGGACAAACATGCTCGATTGTAACCTTTGTGTTTATTCATAATTAGACTCTTAGGAAGCTATCGAAAGTCCATTTGGTTTTTGCCCCTCCATGTCAAATGGCTTCATATTGGAGAACACCTCAACTGCATCTAGCTGCAATCACAAGGCATAAGCTCCATCTGGTTCAACACGCGCACATTAACTTGGAAGGAAACCTACCTACACTTCGAGGTAGAATGCCTTGGACGAGTTCAAAGTATCATCATATTCAACGTAGAACGATGGAGGGAAAATTGGGTATTTCATGCGATATCACTAAGGTCAAATGCTTGTTTGACTACATACCAATAAATGGTGCGGCAAAACGTCTGCTCAAATTTCGCTCACCACTACAAATTTCCGTCGACATAGGTGTTTAGTTGCGATAAGAAACGCATTTATTACACAGAATAAACGAAACAAACATTCCCAGATTTTCTCACACTATCAACAATATATAAGTAGCTCAGTGGAAGAATGGACGTTACCCGATGATTGAAGCTTCCATCTGAGAAGTCGTTGCTCGAGGAGTCAGTCAACACGTGTGACCGCGAGATGTGGATCCCGTGATTGAAGAATGAGCGGCGATATATCCTGTCTAAGTACGAGTTAATCATGCTGCTGATAAGCCGCTCGTGGGCGAAGGATTAAGTGTTCAGGCTACTAGCCTGGAGGTCGTGGGTTCGAGACTCTCCAGAGTTTCGTGAGATACGCACTGCTGATGATTTCCAATAGACGTGAAACGCTTGTACAGCGCTTCTCGGCTTTTCAGCGTAGACTGGCTTCACTTACGGGGCAAAACCGCCACAAAAATAAACGGTGAGCGCTCATGGCATGGGTAATAGCAAAAACCCAGATAGAATGTTGAAAACCTCTTGATTGGCGAAGAAAACTTCCTGATCCAAACGAATTGTATTGGCGACCCCCGTTAACGACCAGGCTGTGCGATGACGTGTAAGTAGGTCGGCCGAACGGCATCTGTCGAATTACCCCAATATGACAGATTTTCTTAAGAGCTGGTTTCTTGCAGGTACCAAGAGGATATAAGGTAAACGTGTCATTTGTAACGCAGGCTAACCCACCGTCACTCAGCAACGGAAGGTATCCTTACGGTCTATCGTCTGTAGAATTATGCACACGTTTTTCATCGCCTCTCTTCCTATTTTGTCACCCACTATATTCATCATCCTAATCGTGATCTGCGCAGACTGACTTAGTGTTATTACTCGTGCTAGCAACCGTGTCATCTAAAAATTTCACTTTACTAATAGTTTTGCCTAATTTTTTAACATTAATAACCTTGTGTTTGAAGCTGCGATTGTACCCTGAAAAAGCCAGCTTCCCAGTAGGCTGACAGACAGAATTTAGACGGAAAAGGAAGTCACCTCCTGAAATCACACCGGTATATTGTATTATGGTGACTGGTTACTAACACGCTGAAAATTCAACTTTGCTCCATATCGTCTCCGTTTGGTTGGCATCCGAAACGGATCTGCCGTCAATAGTAGGACCACTCGCCAAATGCGTAGAGCCAATCATGTTTCTGCGAGCAGGCTGCTGATGTGGACTTACATCCGAGGAAATAACATCGTTTCGCGAGCACCCAGAAGTCTGTCGAGAGCCATCAGTCAGCCTAATTATGATGGTCCAATGACAGCCGCCAGCTCGTGTTCTTTTTCACCAAGCCTCTTAACTCATCAGTCAGCTCCTTTATGTTTCGTTGGTACGTCCTACTTCCTCCAGATAAATCACTGTAAATTTCTCCGTGGAATTTCTATTATCGAACCACCTGAGTGGAATGGTTAGCCAGATAGCAAGACACAACTCTTTCATGTTAAGGTCATCTCGTAGTGTCGTTGGTGTCAGGCAGGTGATGAGTAGAAATCGCACCCAACTTCTCTTCTGCAAATGCTGGCTAGAAATGATAGAAAATCACCAAGATGATTCACTGGCTCTTTCGCGTTTGTTTGGAGTGGGCCCGCTGGTGACTGACAAGTCAGATTCTGCTGAGGCATTTGCACCTGCGGGTTGTGCAGATCCCTTGCTACACAAGGTTTTTAGACCTGTACAGACTGCTACTTTTGCCAACATGAGAAGAAAAAATACATCCATTCGAATCGTACGTCTAGGAATGCCATGGGGTCAGAGGCAACCCTGCTTCATTCCCGCACCGATTTCGGATTTGGATGAAGTCGATCCACAAGTGCTCATTAGGGACTTCAAACCGGGGTGAAGGGCTTGCTAATTTGGCAGATGAAATTTGGCGAACTAGCCCCACAGAATTCACAGTCAAAAATGTGACATCCCAATTTCACGCACGCATAAACAATCACACAACTGAGTAATTCCGGTTGATATCGGAAGCAATAAGACAATGGGTGCAAGGAACAGTCTGGCTTGTCACTATTTCATCCTTATGAGTAACTCCCAGTGCATCCAGGAAAACTAACGGATGCGATCGCAATTACAGGTGTTCAAATTCGCTAAGCCGAGCAGCGTTCGTTGGGCTTGCATAATATTCTTAGCAGTACCGACGTAGACCACCGGACCCGTAAAGTTCATCAGTGGGTCCTAGCTGATATAGGCTTCCCAAGGCAGCCACATTTGAACCTAATCCGTCCCTTCAAAGGAGTGTGATCATGTCCAGGAAAGGTGGATAGCGTGTTCGCTCATGGAAGACTAGCTGCGATATCCAGGCCGTCTCGCGGTCCACATAACGTGGCTGTGATTTCGACCAAACATTTTGTTTTAAAACTGTATAGCTTGGTTTTTACCAGTAAAACTGTGTGAATATTGAGCTGAGGACGAGAATGCGAAAACCATACGCTCGCCTTTTTAGTGGGATAATCAAGCAGTTCTTTCATTGGCTAACAAGACCTAAAGTTACTTGGGAAATGCGATTCCCTCATGATTGTTTGTAACTAGATAGCTGTCCCATTTGCGACACATTTTATGAGCTAATAGATCCAAACTGGGACATTATCTTCGCTTTTCATCAAAATCCCAAAACAAAAAAATGAGGTGATTTGACCTACACTTGGCTGGTATCCGTGTCTGAGTTAGTTTATAGCTAATTCATTGAATCAGGTTATCCAAGCAGTTACTCTGTTCTTCGATTATTTAATCAGTGTACGAATCTGAGTAAATAACCTTCGTGCACTTTTGTCAGGGATCAGATGTAACACTGTTTGCTAATGACGGTGACTGTACACGAGCCCCACGTAAACTGCAAAAGACGACGGACCGGTACATTAGCAGCAGTGGAAAAATGCACATTCATACTACAGGCAGGAATACTCAGGATTCTGTTTCACAAGGCTTTGGAGTACTGGGTGAGTCGTCTATAGAGTCCTTCATCTTACTATCAGACCATGGTGATTAAAACCGTTTCGTATTTGCTTGGTTGTTGCTGATACTTTTTAATGCTGACCCACAGCAGACCAGGCCAACTTGTTGGAAAACTCAACACGTTTGTCGGAATAGGATATGAGATTTTTCTCGATTTCTGGAGCAAGGTAAGACAAAAGTCACTTCAGTTTACCTGAAAAGTGTGCGATATTCGACTCAGTGGTCTTCAAGTTCGGAGTGCACAATCCAATTTGTGCGGCTCCTTTCATACTTTGTTTGTGCCTTATCATAGTAAACAGCCGTTGTAATGCGTAACTCTCTCGCTGCAGCTTCAGAATGCTGAAAAGTCGCTCTTATCTACTGGACCTCGCTCGCCTACTCAGCACTCTCAAATCTCAAATGGATGATGCCCACTGAGGTAATTGCTATGTCCTCTAGCTCAAGGACATTATACAAACAACCTCATTGGTAGAGTATGTCGTGCAATATCAGGTGGTGCGATCCTGCTCAGTGATGGTGCATGGTAAAATTCTGAACTAGTGAAACATCAGTCTACAAACAGATGGAATCCAGTAGTTAAAGTAATGTTAAGAAAGTAAAGCATCTGAATGAAGCGGTACCCAAAAAGCACTGATCAATCCCGTTGTTTCTTTCTCGAAAGCATTTCCTGGTGATGAGAGAAGGGAGAGGCATATGAAGGACGCCGCATGTAATGTTCACTTAAATGACAAAAGTATTCAAGTTAAAACAGGTACCAAACATAGAACCCTGCATCAAATTACATTCTTCTCTATACTTGAGGTGTTGGTGCTCTGGCTTAGAGTTGGTGGTTTTCCAGACAGAATACAATGAGCGGAATTGCACGTCAACTAGGAGAGCTTTGCACTCATTGACGGTAAAAAGTTCCATCTAGTTGGTAGGGAAGGGTTAATTTCCGACTGACAGGGTTGGAAATTCCTATTAAGTACTCTAGAAATGGAAGTACGTGGGTAGATCAAAGATACCCATGTCGGAAGAGATGGTTACGCAATGATTCCATCAGCTTTTCTGTGTCTGTAAATGAATTTCGAAAACTGTTGACTTAGTACTGACTCCATGCGGTATACCAATAGCACAAATGACTTCACAGTGATAAGTAAGAAATAGAGACCCAACCATGCCCCAGCCAATGGTCTGAATCGGGTAGTTCAACGACTGTTTTTGACCCAGTGGTTAATTGCACCTCGTACTGAATCACCCTACGGGAATGGGTGAAGCTAAAAGACAGTATGTAGTTCCAAGGGGCTTCAAATTGGACATGAAAACAGCAAGAATTCTAGATGCTAGATGGATTCGGTGGAAGTGGACCGATAAATGGAAGCAGGAGTTTCAAGCACGTTCGTGGCACCCGTTTTACAATCGCCAAACAACGACTTTTCAGTCCTGCTTTCTAGCACTGGAGGAATACTTGGCAAAATTTTAGCCGTTGGCAGTACCTGTGCATTCAGTTAATCCACAGCCGTACATTTGATTCCTACAGAGCGTCCCACTAGAGGGTCTGCTCACACACTCAAACTTTTTTCTCACTAAAAGTCCCCTTTATTTATCACCCTGGAAGAATAGTATGTCTGGAAGAAATCCCTTAAGAAATCCTAAGCGATGCACTATGGGTCGGTCGAAGGGGAAAATCGTTTATTCCTTGCAAGTGAGATTCATACCCTTATGACTGACACAGAGAAGGTTGTCAAGAGAGGTTATCAAACAAAGTTTACTCTATATATGGACGAGTTCAAATGTCACACCACATGAATGGGATAGCCCATAGACCCTCTCAGTCTGGCCACCACCTGGAACTCGCACCACTGAGCAGTCCACTTTGAAGAGGTTTCGCGGGATAGGAGCCAATATATCCTCGTCATGTGCACCGGGGGTTGACAAAGTGAAAGTTCGCCTACAGAGTAGGAGCATTTAATCTAAGAAAACCAATCGCCAGTGGGCTGGTGTAAGATAAATGTGACAGAATATTGTGACGTATTTAACCAAAGTAGCATTTCAAGGTGTCATGTAGTATTTGTGTCAACAAACAAGGGAATTTTTTCAAAGCCCGACATCGTGACTGTCAGTGAATCACTAGTCAGTGGCCTGAATATATTCATTTGATTCTTTTAAGACCTCAGAGAATTTCGCACTAGCAATCTGTTTCGCATCCTGAGGGAGTTAGCTGCAATCTATGTACAAAATTGTCTGTCCAACTTTCTTATATTTACAAACGGTCAGTCGGAAGCCAGTTCAAATTCCATGCTAATCCTGCTATACTTCCTTGCAGGAGTACCGACAGGCAACAAATTAGAGCTGGTTTGTGGCGGAAAAGTGCAAATTCGGAGATCTTATTTTTATGCGGAAACTGTCTTCCAAAGAGATGCAAATGTAGCGTAATCGGTCCATTGACTTGTCCGCTGCACTTTGGTAAGCCGCAGCGCTATCTGATACCATAAATGATAAGAAATATTTGAATCGCTGAATAACTCAAGTACGTTGCAGAAGGTCTTGTATCGATTTGTACAGCTAGACAGTGGAACGCATATGGGTATCTGCTATAGTTTTTCGGTTACTTGGATAAAAGACAGAGATGCCGATTTCATGCACTCCATTCCAGTTTTCCAAAAGTTACTCCAAACTATCAATCAGGCGGATGAAGTGAAAGACCGGCCCAACAATCCTGCACAGCTGCCTAAACTGTGTTGGAAACACTGTGAGCGAGTTTGTCTTGGACACATCTGGATGCTTCTTGTTGGTAGTTATAAGCTGTACCGTTTGTCCACGGGCGGATAGTCAGAACTGCAGTCTACACGCATTTAGCGGGGATAGATAGCAAATTTCCTTGAACCGCCTTACGTACGTCGCGTAATTTGTTGCCCATTCTTCACCAATCGACCACTTCTCAGTTGGAAAACCCATGTGACTTGTGGCCTGCTTTCTCTCTTAGAAAGACCATCCATGGCTTGAAATTAACAAGGAGGTCCAGCTATGCCCTTCAAGGTTTCATCTTTCGGACTGAGCTCAATGGGGTTAGCCATGGTGGGCAGTCAGTCCATAGCTATCAAACAGGGAGGATTTTAAACGTGAACCCTCGAAAACACCACAAAACCATTTCCCAGGCAAAAATACTGGTATACACAACTTAATATGTGTTTACCAAATTCTTTCAACCACTCTTATTACTTTGGCAATATTAGTGTTGTTTAACTCAGTGCGGCAGAGGAGAAAACAGTGGTAGTTCCAGAGTGGTATACCACAGCAATGCGTAGCAGAGAATGCGCGGAATGACTGAAACACTGGTGAAGCGAATCAAATTCAAACATCCGCAGTTCATCTTGGCACTCACTTACCAACATATTTGATGAATTGGCCCCGCATACGTGCGATTGTCAAGAACAAAGTTGAAAAAACCTAGAGCCTTATGGAGCGAAGTATGAACGAAAAAGCACAACTAATCAGTCGAGGACGACTGGTTCATGTCGGATTTGTATTCTTCAACATCCCACGTGATTCCACACACCTCTACCCAACTGATCAGCAGTTACTGTTTGTCAGTTCAGTAGGTGACTTTGACATATTAGTCAGATGTTAGATTCTTCTAGGTACAGAGGTCTTTTTTATTCCATGTTGTCGTACAGGACAGTTGTCAAACTACGAGAACACAGTCTAAGAAGAAAACACTTCCGCAAAGAAACAGGTGTAGTATGCGCCTAAACCGAGTTGGTATAATTTTCTAGTATTGGACTGACGTAACTGATCGAAGCGCAAACTGTGACATGTGATTTCGGTGCATCTTATAAGGAAAGCTTTTAAAGGCTTCAAAATTTGTTCTATTTACTGGTTACTTGACAGCAGAAGTAATTGGGGCGAAACCGTGGAACCCTCAAGTCAACAAATCTTATCAGAAGAAAAGATTCCTTAACGCAAAACTGTCTACCAGTTTTACTTTCTTTATCTTCGAAACTCTATTGATGAAACTGAAAGTGCCACTCGTCATACGGTTTAAAGCCTGGAGGCTCGTTCAAAGAAGAACTATTTATATTCATCATTGTCCGCGAAACTGTTGACTGGGTTGGATTTCTTTTCTATATATCATATATATATATATATATATATATATATATATATATATATATCTGAATGAACTGATGCACGCAGAGTTTGAGTTCATTGTACTCCTAGGTAAAAATTGCACTTGAACTTCCACGAATTTTGTAACCAACTTTTTCACTCTCTATTTTAGAAGTTTCTGGTGAGCAAGAGCCACTACGTAAGTTTGATTATCAGTGGAAATTTTCTCCAAGGAGAAGGCTTGTGATAACATAAACAAGTATTCATCTAAGGAACATACATGGTAGTGGATTGCAATAATGACAGGTTGCAGCTGGTGTTGATTTATTCAGCGAGCTTATCTTCATCAGTTGGATATGTTGAACTAATCCTCTGAAATGCCGCGCTGTTCTTGTACGAATGTACTTATGTGGTATGCTATTCATTGCAATAGCCCACGTGATTTGTTTATTACGAATTACAAATCAACTCAATAAGCCCTTGCAGATAATTACTGGAAGCTAGTCATGGACAGTCAAGTGTCAATCCACAATAGACTAACGTTGTATGTCTAATTCATATGATTGCACAGTCCACTCCTCTCCTGATCCAAATGATTCGCGTCAACAAAAAGTGTTTTAGCCTTTTTAGAGGTCAGTACAATGGATTTCTTCGCAAAAATGCATATTTTTCGAGTAACTTACAATTTTACGTCCAGGTAGATGATAAGGTAAATGGAAACTCGGGGACTACCGTTACACATTGAGCCCCGAGAAGAATGTGACATTTCGTCGATCGTCAGTGAGTCTTCAGCAACCTCATTAGGAGCGTCCGCCGTCGTTTTTTTGCGGTGGTAAGTGAGGATGAGCTGAAATCGACTATTCCGTGCGATATAAATATTCTAACGGTTTAATCCTATTGCACATTCACGACTCTCTCCAACTACTGTAACTTGTGTAATTCACATGGCATTTCTCTCTGGCTAAACTTATGCAACCATCACCGGACATGGCCCGTCACCCCAAACAGGTACTGCGGTCACGAGCACTCTGAAGATACTGGGTCATACCGCAATGCTTTGCTCTGTCCTTTACTCGCTCTTTCCTCCGCCAGTTGTTTAACTGTTTGCAGTGACCGGAGTAGGCCATATGCGTTCGTTTTTCTTCATACCCGTCAGTCAATGGTCTTAGGTGAACAAACAATGAAGCAAGACGAAATGTCTTACTTTGTCTTCTCGGGGAACCCAAAAGCTAGGCATATCTCTCTTGACAAATCAAGTTGGAGGCACAGATTTTTCTCTACGGAATTCTGCTTTCGAGGAATCAGGACCCATAGATTAGAACAGAAAACCACAGTAAGTCCCCGAGTCATTAGCTTTTCACCAGAAGGAGACACCACAGTGGGATATCTTCACTCCACCAAAAGTAAGGGGCAAAGTGAAACATCACAGTATGGCTCGCCATTTCCCGAGCTCTCTGCAGTCGTCGTTAGTGACCATCGTCCTGTTTAGTGGTGCGTATGTAGGTCGGATTAAAAAGGTGTCAGTTACTGATGGTCACTACGGGAGCTTTGCAAATGTGCGTGAATCACGGATGTGCAAAGATATCGAATAAATGGACCATGGACCTGGGAGGAAAAGATAAACTCCACCCCCCCCCCATTTCGTCTGTTCAAACATTATGAACCGTCAACCAGAAGGCATTTTCTCTGGGGCACACGAGACCTGCGCTCATTTTATTTCGGTTGCACATTGGTTTGTCCAGAAGATACTACTGTGTTTTGATCAGCAGGCGCCTCTCGATTGGTGCTTATAGGTAAGCCTCATAAGTCAGATGATCGACGTCCTGTTTGGGCACTTAAGAGTAATCGCTGTGCTGGCGACCGATAATCTGATCAAGTGGTCCCACTTTCGATGTAGCCTAGTCACAATAATTGTAAATCGTAGATGAGAGAGTGTCCAAGTAAAAATAAGAAGACCGTGGTAGAAGTAGAGAGTAATTTGACACATTTTTACCATTTTAAAATTTTCTTGACCTTTTTTTCCTGCAGTACGAGACTGTGTGGTCAGAAAATCTCTAAACGCGGCTGACAACAGTTTGAGAATTATCTTAACCCGGGATGCTGACGGAGATGACTGTCGGCTTCGAATAAACGTAGCACCCGGATTTCGCATAAATATGAACGTTGAATTCACTGTAAGTATTGCTTCATTCTGTGGGAGCAGAGTTCACTAATCTTGGTGCTATATTCTTCTCCATATCCTTTCAGAAAGCTGACCAAGATATCCCCCAACAATCGCCAGAATAACACGATTCAACACCAAAGTGTATTCTCACAGTAATCTTTTCTAAAAGCTAAACACTGCAATACCGGATGAAGACATCCACATAGCTAAAACGGCTTTCTTGTGAAAACCTTCAGTTACTTCATTTTACGAAACCACATCGGCTTGCTGTATATAAATCATAATATTTAAAGCTAAAAAAACGGAAAAACTTAACCGGTTGTGTGTACATTGTCTATGCAGGCCTAAGGTCTTCTGACTGAAGGGATACCTTCATCAGGAAAACTGAATGTCGGAATATAAAAGTGCGAAAATAGAATAGATTTGATTAGGTGCCTCACAGATGAAAAGCTTGTTAAATTTAACTTCTCTCTGGCTGAGTGGAGTTAAATGAGAAGTCAGTTGCAATAGTTGAAAATGTTGGACCTGATTAAGGACTTGCTTGTAGTAGCCTAAAAGCTTTCAACCAGGTAACCAATGTCATGTGAAGGTTTTGTAGACGCATTCTTCAAGCTATACTTGGTATTTTTGCGTCCAGTTTGTGTACGATTGGTGATGCACGCCGAAACGACCGCATTATAAAATCTACCGAGTTGATACTATTCGCGTTCGTCAGGTGGAGGAAAACATGCAATTAAAACTCTGTGCAGATTAGTGTGAAATACTTTGCTGCGAATCACGTGGCGTGCACGACCATGATGAGACGGATTTTTCCTACGATTTTATTAGTACAGAGAGATCTCACTTCCACCCAAAGTCCCTGCCTTTCCGATCGAATCATCTCTCTTTGTGGAAATATTCAGTAAACTTATCATTTTCCGTTCCATATTAATAATCCTGAACAACTTTTAGACGTTACTCGGGATCATGCATTTGGTAACTGCCACTGTACTTGTCTTGCTGAGGAGGGTGCGAACCCCTGTTGTCTACGGTCCATTATCATAGAGCATGACATGAAATTTCGTCCGACTTTTGATCGTTCCACTTTCATCATCATCATCATCATCATCATCATCATCATCATCATCATCATCATCATCATCATCATCATCATCATCATCATCATCATCATCA